AAAAAAAAAAAAGGCATGGCGCTGCAACATCTGGTCTTCACTGCAGGTAAGTGGTTAATTTGCATAATGTATACAGGTTTTTAGGATTTTTTCCCTATTTTTTATTTTTTACTAAACAGCATTTCCTTTTTTTTATAAACCAGAAAAAACTAAACTCTACAGAGAAAGTCCCCTACCCGCAGTCTTCCACTGCTGATAGAGATTGACATCAAGCTGTACAGCGCAGTCGAAAACATACTTACATCTGAGCTCATTTACAGGTACAGCCATAATCAAGGCACAAAGATCTACAAGTAGATTTGTTTTTCTTTCAATTAAGTTGTACAAAATAATATTACATTTTACAGTCTGTACAGGATAATTCAACCTTGCACAGTGTACAAGTTAACAAAAAAAACAAAAAAAAACAAGGATAACAACTACATTTTTTCTCTCCCGTCCCTCCCCCGCCCCCCTCCCCCTCCCCTCAGTTTTATCTCTAAGCTAAAAAGGGATGGGTGTTGGGTGAACAGAAAGGAGGCAGGGTCCGACGTTCCGGTGGAGGCACAGGGCTAAGGTGCAGAGAGCTCAGTCCCTTTTCCTTCATTTAAATCGCCTTCTTCACTGGTCGTCCGCGCTCCTCTGCCCCGCCCCCCCCCCAAATCGTCCCCAAGGTCTCCCCCGTTGTCCTCCCTTCCCACCCTGGTGCTGTAATCGCTTCTCGCTCCACATGCTCCTTCCGGCGCCGCTCGGTGCACCCTGCAGCTCGCAAGCTAAATCGCGTGAGCAGGTAAGTAGAATATTGTGAATGCGACATTGGTTATGTTCTCTCTGGAAGAAAAAACAACAACAACAACAACGAAAAGAAAAAAAAAAAAAAAAAAAGTTATTAAGGAACCTGATGCAAAGTGCATTTATCTCTTCATCCACTCGGTTTCCCCTCTCGTCCGCTCCCCCGTCGCTCTCCGGTGTCGTCGCCGTCCAGTCGTCTTCCACGCGGAGAGGAGAAGCAGGTCAGAGGGGGTGACGGGGCAAAAAAAAAATAAAATTTAAAATAATAATAAAAAAAAAAAGGTCAAAGGGCAAAGGTCATGGTGGTGATGCCGGCTTTAACCGGCAGGTGACACACAAACATAAACACACACGCATGCGCTCGCTCACATGGCATTTCCTCCTTCTCTTCGTTGCACGCACACGTTAACACACACTGCCTCTACACTGAGGTCCTGCAGGTGTGTTGAATGTATCCACACCCATCAGTCCAGGTCCAATGACAAAGCCGAGAAACAGAAGGACACAAAGGGGCAACAAAAAAACAAAAAACAGGAGGTAGCCCAAGGCTTAGTGGAATGACAAAAATCAAGGCATTCAAAAGGAAGGATTAAAAAGAAAAAAGATGAAAAAGAAAAAATAAAAGTAAGCGGCACGCAACAACTTTGTTCCCCAACCTTCCTTTCACGTCGGTGAAATGGGGATGAATCGGTCTCAGAGAGAGAGAAAAAAAAATAAAGAAGTACAAAAAGCTAAGAAGTTAAGAAGAGGAAGAGGATTTGACACACTTCAGTAGTACTTCATAGTCCTCGACAGGAGGGGTGGTCAGGGGGGTTTGTTGAGGGTTTCTTTGGGAGGGGGAGGAGGAAGGGGGTGAGGGGTAAGGGAGGAGGATTGGAAGAGGGAGGAGGAAGAGGAGGAGGAGGAAGGGTTCGTCAAGGATGCAGAATGGTGGAGAAAAACACAGAAGGCTGACGGAGGCGGTCTCCCATCACAAGAGTTCGTACTGCCGCAGGTGCATTCTCTGGATGATGTCCCGGCAGTCGTTGAACACCCGCCGGATGTTCTCTGTGTCCACGGCGCAGGTGAAGTGGGGGTAGCAGTAGTGTCTGCCGTCGCCACTCGCAGTGCTGATCCGCTGTGGGAGGGGGAGAGAGAGAGAGACGGGTGACACACTGAGACGGGTTCGAGCTCTCTGTCGTTCACTGCTGACCTCTGACCTTCAGGAATATGAAAATATCTCTTCCCTTTAAGGATTAAATTCTCCCTGTGACTGCGAGTCGTCGTTTACCAGCTGTGGTTTTTTTATACCAAGTGACACAAAACATGAAGAACTATCTGTATGATCCGTCTCGACTGCGGCTTTAATATCTGATTGCAGGCGCTTTAAACTTGTAGGATGTTTTACTTTTCTCGAAACACACGTTGAAGTTTTCCTGTCAATGTCTTTTCCCAGATTAAACCGCAGAGAAATAAACATAAAATGACGTTAATTCTAAATTTCGGATGTTATTACTTCATATTTGTTAATTAAAGATGGTAATATATTTAGTTGTATTACAATTCCTTTTAAAAGTGCATAATCTAACCATACAGCATCATCAATAATACAGTTTATATAAAGGTTATTCTGCTGCAGTGGACCATCTATACCGCATGGCTGCACTGATAAAGTCTGTTTTAGCTCAAATTATACCTTTCAATAATAAAAAACTCACACGAGGATCTCGCAGGTATTTTTCACAGGAAACAGGAGCAATTAAATTCCCGATATTTAACCCTGCTAGAGTCTGAGGTCACTGATTTTAGTGCGTAACATGTTTCAGACATTGGCTGACTACCCCTCCTCCTCTGTCAACTACATTAGGCCTGTTTTAGACTAAATTAAACCAATGTTGGTTATTATTAAGCTAAATGCCATAAATATTATTATTATTATGAAAGAAAAACCATAAAGACATTGGACTCATGACGGGTTTATAAAGTAGTAAGATCAGGCTTTTTTCCATTAAATGCCAAATGTTACTACAGTATTTTAACTACTACTAGTAATTAATAATGTTATTTAAAACATCGGACAGCTAAAAAGCTCTAAACAACTCGATCTGCTGAGGATAACGTGAGAAATAAAGATGTTCTGGTCCCAGATTTTCTGTTCCAATACTGATTCCAATACCTACATGTGGATAAGATTTATATTTTTTAGGTTGTATGGCCTGGCTCAGGTTAAAGCCCCCAGAGTCAGAGTGGGGCAGGGAAGTAACAGTTTCCTGTTTCGGGGGAGAATTAATTACATGGCATCATATTTATGATTATTCATTAATACCAAATAGCTCATTTTAGGCAGTATCGGAGAAACTCTAGTGACATAAGGTCCAGAAAAAACTAGTAAGTGGACATTGAGTTAAAATTATTTTGTATATTGTATAAAATGTCTATTCAAATCATAAACAGGATGGACAGTAACATGACTGGTTGCTAAAAGTGTTTCATGAAGATCAACGCAACATAAACGCACAGTTGGAGTTTGTATCTGGCAGCACAGAGAACAAAATACTGAGTTATGAATTAACAGAACAAGGCTGGACATTCATTAACTCCAGCAACACCCCAAACAGCGCAGACATACGGTGAAATACTTACAAGAAACTCGTCTCGGATGAAGAACTTAGCTCTCGTCACTCTGGGGTCTTCACCAGGTTCAGGAGTTGCTGGAAGAACAACGGATTCACAGTTAAAACTCCGACTGACGTAAAAAAGAGGAAACCCTCGTAGAAGTTATTCTAGTGGGACACAAACCTTCATTTGGTATGGTGTAGCGAGCATATTCGGGGAAGTAGTCTTCAATTTTGGATTTTCCAGCTAATACTTTCTCAGCCAGCATGTCCTGCTTGTTCAGGAATAATATGACCGATATAGTGCGTAACCATCTGCAACAGAAACCCACAAACAACAAACACCATTACGTTTTGTTCATGAGAATTAGAATATTTAGACATTAAAGACTGTAAAACATTTAGACTCCCTTTACTTAATTCTCAGTTATTCAGTTTAGTTTCTAGGACACGAGGGGGGTTGATTAAAGTGTGGGAGGGACGTTTTTGGAGGTTTTTATGGCGTCGATTTGGACAGTAAATTAAGAGGAAGAGAGAAGCGGCTGTGGCTCAGAGGTAGAACGGGTCGTCCACTTATCGGAAGGTTCGATCCCCAGTTCCTCTCCTCATGTCGAAGTGTCCTTGAGCAAGATACTGAACCCCAAATAGCTCCTGTATGTATGAATGTGTGCGAATGGAGTGAGTGTGGCATGTAGTGTACAGTGCATCTACCATTTATCAAAATGACATCGGGGTGTCCTGAAGTCGGATTATTCTGCATTCACATGGACAGCACGGGAAAAACAAACCAACGCTCAGCACAATGGCTGGACGGCAAAACACACGACGGTATGTCGCTGTGTTGATGCGATGTTTACAAAGAATGGAATAAAATATGTTAAATATATTTAGATTTGTCGTTATTTAATTATTAGCTTCTTGTTGTCCAGTTCACTCGTGTTGTTCCTTGGTGAGAGAGATTGAGCGACTTGCTGGCATGCTAACGTGATTTCAAAAAGGACGACTTCCTACACTTTCGGTTGGACTTTTCAGAAAGCTGCCGTGAGGAGGTTTGTGCTTCTTGCCCCTATCAACTCCTTTTTTACCAGAGTCTCAAATTTCCTCAAATGTGAGCAAAGATGATGAGAGATGGACAGTAGTTAAAAAAAAAAAAGACAAACACCTGGGTTTATAAGCCACCATTTGACTTCCCTGAACTTCCATTTTTGATTTAAACACTAGGACAACAGTAAGCAAGACATGAAAGGAGGAAGAGAGCGGAGAAAGCCGACACGTGGCTGCAGATGAAAGGAATTAATCACACGGCTCAAACGTCATTCATGTTTGTGTCTCACCTGTTGTTCCAAATACTGCGGAAGAGGTCCAGGGCTTCCCGTAGCCTGTTGGTGTTATTGTCTTCCCTTATTACCATGTTGTAGCTGCTGCTGGCCACCACAAAGATGATAGCAGTGACGTCTAGAAGCAGAGGAGAGAAAACCACATTTTTTACTTAAAGAATAAAAAGAGCTGCTGAAGCTGGCAGGAAATACTTTAAGACGGACCAGATGGGATAGGAGGAGAATGTGCTGTCGGTTGAGGACGTACAGTGTGGCTATATAAGAACAAGAACAACAACAAAAAAAAGGCTGAAAGTCTCACCGTTAAAGCACTGGATCCATTTTCTCCTTTCATCTCTCTGGCCCCCAACATCAAACATGCTATGGAGGAGACAAAATACTGGGTCAGACTCAGACACAACAACACACACAGCGCTGCCCTCTTTAATCAAAGAGTTCATATCTCTAGTGGGACGTCAGGTACATATTGTACTGTACTTGGCTCAGAACATTTACACACCAGTTGTTGTTGTTTTACACATACATTTTTATTTTGATCATCACTAAAGATTTTCTGTCTTGAGCTCAATCTGCTCCTGATCTTAGATCTGGTTCACAAAAAGAGATTCTACATCTTAATGGGACAAGTTAGTGTACATGAACAGTCAATTCATGAATAAATAATACTGAAAACAGCGTATTTGCACATACTCTGTGTAACCATAACCTGTGTGACTCTGGCTGGATGTTTGGAAGTCATCAAGGCTGAATAATGAAAAATGCACACCCAAAGGGAAGTCACGTCCCAGAGCTTTTTATATCAATCATTTAGGATGATATAATTTGATACAAAGGCTCGTTTCAGATGGTAGAATAAGTCTGTTGTGTCTGCGACTACGGAACTGGGTCACCTCATGTGACATCATCAAAGCAGTTACGAAACATTTACTCCAACTTTTATTGGCTGCTCTTATAACTGCAACCGATGGTCAATAACTTTCAGCTGGATCAAAAAAATAAAAAAATCACACCGGTCAACCGCAGAGGATTGTTTGTTTTTTGTTTTTTACATTTCAGGCATTCAGATGACGCTCTTTTCCAACCTCAGCTTCCGGCCGCCGACCAGGTCGGGGTTCGGTGTTTTGTTCGAGGACGCGTTTGTTGTTAGGGGTTACAAACCTATGACATTTCAGGCTCTTAACACGAGGCCAAGATAAATATAGCAATACCCAAGAGGGTAAATGGTTTTTAAAAAGCGTGCCACCTCAATAATTTTTGGTGGAAAACTATTCGCAGAAACTGGAAAAACGCCTGGAGAGCCTCCTTTTCAGGAATGGGTGACAGAGTTAGGAAACGCCGGTGGACAGGACAGAGGATATTTCCTTAAGTGGGGCACGTACTGTGTATATATATATCTTTTATAGAGATACAAGTGAAAAATATATACATGTTCTCAGAGCATTTCTATGATTACAAATTCATGTAGGCGGTCTTTTTCTCAAATTAGTTAATATACATAAGCTGCTAACAAAATTAATTGTATTTCACTTTACTTTTAGAGAATTTTCAGACTAAGCTGTCCAATAAACCATCAATCAACATATATACCAGCACGGTGAGTGAGTGTCTTCATCAAGTGTGTTCATGTCCGAGCGAAAGCTTGAGCACGACTTACTGAAAGTTCACTTTGTCTACTTGGAACCTCGTCTCGAAAATCCCTGAAGTTAACACTCGGCAGCGTAGCAGGTCCTGTGAAAACATAGAAATGAACAAGTTCAGTAAAATTCATGATGAACAAGCTTTTGGAAGTGATTTAAAAAACAATAAAAGTGTGCACATTAACGGGAGGACTGACCTGGTCCGTTGGTGTGTAGTCGTTCTGTCTTACGGAGTCAATTCTGTCCAGGAAACTGCAACGACAGAAACAGAACAGGCTCAGATTTTGCACTAAAGTCTATCCATTTCTATATGTGGTGGGAACATAAAGGTATATTAACAATATATAAAACAATTTATTGTCCCTATGTATGAAAACCACAAAATTACTGATATTAGTCTCCATAAATACTGACATACTGAATCCACAAAGAGTCAAAACCAATTAATAAACAGGGAACCACATCTTATCTCACAGAAGAAAGGCCACATTCATGGTACACCAATGCAAACACAATTTTATCTATTTATTGGAACCTGAATCTATTAATTGCAATCTTTAAATCTGATCATACGTCACAACTGTTACATCACTCATTAAACATATCTCTTGTGACAGTGCGTCAGCTCGAATTCAGACGTTCGTGTGAGCTGCACAGGATGCTGCAAAAGGCGGCCGCCATGTCTGACTCCCTGTAGAGGCTCAGTAGGCCGGTGTTAAGGCAGCTGGTTGCCACAAGAGGGCAGGGCTGCTCAGTCTGGGCTATTTTTGTCTGTCTCTAGCCAGAGTGATTACATAAGGCGGTTATTGTGGAGGTTAGACAGCTTGCTGTTTCCGTCTCTTCACTACTGAGAGAGCATGTGCAGCGGTAGCAGCAGTAGCAGCAGCAGCTGGGCCTCTCTGCAGCACAGCAGGCTCAGGACACCGAGGCTGGGGACACACGGTCACACGGGCCCCTGGATGGTCTGGACCACACAATTAAAAGACAATCTAAGGACCAAAAGGAGTATAAGATGTCCTACTGTGGAAAAGGCACCGACAGAGACAATTTACATTATGATACATAATACAAAGCTTTATATGTAGACTAATATATTTATATAAACAGCCATTGGACATTCAGTAGGTCTCTCCAGACAGTTTAGAGGAACTGACTTACAAAAGGAGCAGCAGTGGACGACACACAGTTTAAAATCAACCAAGGCCCAAAGCAAAATGCCCTTGAAAATACTAGAGGTACAAATGTTTGCTGGCAAGAAATGTGTTGCTCTCAAAAATCAAGTTACTTAAATATGTCACTTTGAGTAACTGTGACGGGCTTTTACACAATTTTGTGATGTTATATAAACGAAAGAAATCAACAGATTGCCTGATAATGACCACAAATTGTAAGTTGCAGCCCTAGATTACTCCTAAATCAAATCCGAGTCACAAATCAGCTCTAAAGGAGTAGTCAACGATACCATTACAGAAAAATAAATGAGCTACGACACAGAAGATGTCCTATTTTCCTCCGAGAGTAAAAGATACAGCAGTGGCGATAAAGGTGCATCAGGTATTTCTGGAGGAGAAGAGTTCCCAGCCTAAAGCTGAAGAGGTGGGTGAGTGAATCCTGTATGTAGGACACAGATGTGGACATCTCACCAAGCAAACCGTCTGTGGCTCCAGGATGTCACAAGACAGTCAACACGGCAAGAAACCTGATGCACATACGATCGGCAGTCAGGGTTTCTGTATGACTTCAGCCAGATGATTCGCTCATGTTAAATTCAACTGAAAATAAAAAAAAAAAGTAGCACACCGAACACACCCCACGTAGACCTAAATAACCAAGAATGAATGCTCTATTATGAGCCATTAGATAACAGAGAAACCGCTCATGAAAAATGTTTTCATCACACCGAGCGAAAAGGAGAAGTAGGGCTATTTCTGAAAGAGCACTACACTTTCTCACAGTGAGTTCATATACAGTAGCTGCACCGACTGTATCACCAGACACAACACACACAGTATGGAAAGGGAAGGGAGGGACGTTCGCTTTCATGAGCATACATTATGTAACATAAGCTGTCTACATTCAGTTTGATCTAAAGCAGGACAAAACATAACGTCTGTCTATATGCTGAATAGGATTAAACTAATGATTTTGTTGTTTTTGATTTGTTGATTTAGTTTTTAAAACGCACAAGTGAGTGCCACAACTTGAAGTGACATCTGAAAATGCTTATTTATTATTTTAGTGCACACCACACTATGTACTTATTAACCAGACGTGGTGTGTGTGTGCCAAACCATCTCCTCGGCCCGATCAGAGGTCTAATCCAGTATGAAACATTCCCACAATTCTTTTCTGGCTCAAGAGGAGGAGTCCGCACCTTGTCTTTAACTTACAACCTGACCTTCGGACGGTTGTTACAAAACCGTACTGATGAACCTTTTAGACCATAAACCTATCCTGAACTTTAGTCTTTCTTAAGTCTTTTAACACCTAAACCTGAAACTTAAAAGAGTCCCGGAGGAGTTTATGACCACTAGTACACTGCAGAGGAATGTTTTTGGTCACAGGTGCTCATATTCAATACAAATCAATATCTCCTCGCGGACACTCGTCTTAGTTGCGCATCTACAAGTTGTGAGCAGTTTAATCGCAGTTAGGTTTTTCCTTTTCAGAGTGTTTCGTGTGAGGTAAAAATATACAATAATTCACAAAAAAGGGGCAAAGTAAAGAAAACATACAAGTTTTTTTGTATGAGAAAGAGTTCTTTCTTATTTCTCACCCAGGTAATCAGCTTATAAACGACTAGATTCAACGAGCAACTCTTGGTGTGCTTTCAATGATCCACAGCGACATGATAACTATGTCTACTGGCTATAGAGGGAGTAATAATTAGAGACAGTCAGTGGGGCCAAAAAAAGTACGAATGGATAG